TATTTGTGATCATATCTGTAAAACAAAGGACTCATAATTGCTGAATAAAACAGAAAGTGTGTTTTGATTTTTGACATTCTCAACTAATCTTCCAAAAAGTTTGTCCAATTTACATTTCCTCCACTACTGTATAAATATGACTGCTTCTGCATACTTTTGTCAACATAGTATTTGCCATATATCTTGCTTACCTCTGCGAGTGGCTGCTTTTGAACTATTGATCACATGGTTAGTGAGGAATGACAGTAGGGTAGTGACCATAAATTTGGAATGAAATGAAGTGTCATACACAAGTTGGAATATGAAGTAGAGTTGGTTTATTTTTATTTTATAAATATTTCAATAATTCGACATTTAAACATCTCCTCAAAATAGCATGAACGTTATTCTTTATTGGATATTACCAATTTTCCAAATATCTTTGCAGCTCTACTTTGGGTATGATCTTCAGAGTCAGTAGCCCATTCATTTTTTACTTCTTCAGTGGTAACAATGTCTTTTAATGATAGATTTTATTTTCCTGAGAGCCAAAGGCATTTACAGCCAAGTCATCTAATAAATAAAATTGGTTATCAAGCAAGATAAAATGGTTTTGGTTAAAAATGAGATGTATCTTAAAATGATGTGAGCATATGTGTGTGCACACACACGTGCATGCACACACACGTGCGTGCATGCATGTACATGTGAGAGAGAAACAGAGAGAGAGACTGAGACAGAAACTAGGTCTGAATGATATTTTCAGTGAAGAGTTTAAATATGTTTTATGCTAGTATGTGTGAAAAGTTTCCCAAGGTCATAGCCCTGAAGGACGGTTCTCATTTGCATGTATACATTGTGGTGTGTTTGCTTTAAAAGATTGATTGTTTTATAGCTATAACTCATAAAGCCTGTGGTCATAAAACACCTCACCCCATCTTGAAGGCAGGCCACCCTTGTGTAAATAATGGTATCACATTCTAACTTAGCTGAGACCACTTCTGGCCATGACATGGCTAGACTCCACTCCGTACCCAAGTAGCCAGGACTACCTCTAGTTCCACATAATAAATGTGAATGATAGCTTAACTAGAAAAACAAGAGAAAAGTTAGCTTTTTAAAAAAATAGAGGTTAAGTGATGAGAAATTACTGAAAAAAATTTAAAGACGGAAATAAGCATAATATTTGTTTGTTATAAAAGGCGTTACAATTAAACAGAGAGAGAGAGAAGGAGAAACAACTCTGTCTTGATTCTGCATCTGCTGCTTACCAGAATGACCACACCCTGACTTGTCCCACAGCTCTGTCTGGTCTCAATTCAGTTCCAACTAACTTAACTGTCCTCTTTGTCATTTTCCAGTGACACTCCACAAATTGGCTGCTTGTTACTTTAGAAGCTTCTAATCTCTTGAAACTTTGTATTCTGTACCTACTACCTCCACATTTTGTCTACCCATTCCTTTCTTAATCCCCTTAAAATGTGGGATTATGGTTTCCTGAAAAAAGACCAGACTTTACATCAAATAGAAATGGATTAAAATCTTGGCTTTTAGCTGTGACCTCAGAAAATGCAATTAATCTTCCTAACCTTAAAAACATATATATTGCTGATTGTTCTAAATTGTTTGAGTAATATATGTTCATAAAAAAACTGAAAAAAGATTCTACAAGGCAAATGTTCATCAGTTTGGTGTATTTGTCTATGCATATGATACCTGAATAAGTTTTACAAAATGGGAACTAATACAATATTTATTGTCTGCAATTTGCTTTGTTTCTATTTATACTTTCAGTAAATGGTTATTCAGCCTCTGCTTACACATCTATCTATACGGAACAAGAACTACACAATTGCAAAAATAGTCCTTTCCATTGTTGTTGTTTATGGTCATTGTAGTTGATTTTAGAAGGTCCTCTCTATTTGTTTTAAATCTTCCTCACTCTATTTGCATACATTTGACCTATTTGTGTCCTCTAGAACAACACAGATAAATCTAATCCCTTTGCCACATAACAGCCTTTAAACATTAAAAGTAAGCCCTCACTTCTCTCTGACTGTCTTCTTCTTCAAGTTAAACAACTTCAGGGTTTTTTTAATCCATCTTCTCATTCATCATTACTTCTGGATCCTTGGCCATCCTAATAGCAGCACCTGCCAGCTCTTTGGCCTCTCTTACCCCTCGAGACTGCCCTCAGTTCCATCCCTCACCTCTTTTGGTGCAAGCTTATTTCTCCCTAACTTCTACTGAAGTTTTTGCTCTGTTTTCATTTCTCTCCTCAGTTACACTAGCATTTCCTCTAAGAACTGAAACAAGACAAGGATGCCCACTCTTAACATTCTTATTCAACAGAGTATTGGAAGCCCTAGCCCAAGCAATTAGGCAAGACAAAGAAATAAAGGACATCCAAATTGGAAAGGAGGAAGTCAAATTGTCCCTGTTTGCAGATGATATGATTTTATATATAGAAAAATCTAATGACTCTACCAAAAAACTCAGCTGATAACAAATTCTGTAAAGTTTCAGAATACAATATCAGTACACAAAAATCAGTAGTATTTCTATACATGAACAATGAACTAGCTGAAAAAGCAATCAAGAAGGCACTCCCATTTACAATAGCTACAAAAACAATAAAATACCAAGGAATAAATGTAACCAAGGAGGTGAAAGACCTCTACAACTAAAACTACAAAATACTGATGAAACAAATGGAAAAGGACATAAACAAATGGAAAGACATCTGCTGCCCAAAGCAACCTATAGATTCAATGCAATGCCTATCAAAATACTAATAACATTCTTCACAGAAATAGAAAAAAAATCCTAAAATTTATATGGAACCACAAAAGACCCCGAACAGCCAAAGCAATCCTGAACAAAAAGAACAAAGCTGGAGTTATCACACTACCAGACATCAAAGTATACTACAAAGCTATAGTAACCAAAATAGCATGGTACTGGTATAAAAATAGACACACAGATCAATAGAACAGAATAGAGAAACCAGAAGTAATCCACATATCTACAACCACCTGATTTTTAACAAAGATATCAAGAACACTCAGTGGGTAAAGGACAGTCTCCTCAATGAATGGTGCTGGGAAAAACTGGATATCTATATGCAGAAGAATGAAACTATATTCCCATCTCTCACCCTATATAAACATCATTGCAAAGTGGATCAAAAACCTAAATGTAACACATGAAAAATAGAATTGCTAGAAGAAAACATAGAAGAAATGCTTCAGGACCTTGGTCTGGGCAAAAATTTTCTGAATAATATCTTAAAAACACAGGCAACACAAACAAAAATACACAAATGGGATTATATCAATCCAAAAAGCTTTTGTACAGCAAAGGAAGTAATCAACAGAGTGAAAATACAAACTACAGAATGGAAGAAAATATTTGCAAACTACTCATCTGACAAGGGATTAATATATAGAATATATAAGGGACTCAAACATCTCAACAGTAAAAAAAAAAAAAATCCAATTAAAGAGTAGGAAAATGATCTGAACAGACATTTCCCAAAAGAATACATACAAATGGCCAATAAATATATGAAAAAATGCTCAACATCCCTAATCATCAGGAAAATGTGGAATTGAAGCCGCAATGAGGTTATCATCTCACCTCAGTTAGGATGACTATTGTCAAAAAGACAAAAAAAAAAAACATGCTGGTAGGGATATGGAAAAAAGGGAATTCTTATACACTGTTGGTGGGAACATAAACTAGTACAACCACTATGGAGGACAGAATGGAGGTTCCTCAAAAAACTACAAATAGAACTATGGATTCAGCAATCCCATTACTAGCAATTTATTCAAAGGAAAGAAAATCATTGTACCAAAGAGATATCTACAGACCATGTTTATTGCAGTACTACTCACAATAGCCAAGTTATTGAATCAACCCAGGCATCCAACAACAAATGAATGGACAAAAAAAATATGGTATATATACACAATGGAATACTATTAAGCCATGAAAGCCAATAAAATGCTGGATGGATGCTCTTGGAGAACACTGTGTTAAGTGAAATAAGATAGGAACAGAAATTTCCTACTAACTCCGCATGTTCTCACTCACATAGAGAAGCTAAAAAAGTTGATCTCATAGAAGTAAAAAGTAGAACAGAGGATACTAGAAGCTAAGAAAAGTAGGGGGAAGGGAGGGATAGGGAGAGAATTGTTAAAGGATACAAAATTATAGCTAGATAGAAAGAATAAGTTCTGGTGTTCCACACCACTATAGGATGACTGGGTATGCTATTTACCCTGATCTGATCACTATACATTATACATATCAAAGCACCAATATGTACCCTATGAATTTTGTACAGTAATTTTTTTATTTAAAAAAAAAATAACTTTGAGCAAAGCATCAGAACCCTTAAAAGAGGATATATCTTGTGTTTCTTTTTGTGCAACCTCTACCCACCTACCCATCACCCTTGCCATTATCAATCCAATCTATCTCCAAGTTAGTTTGGTTGACGTAAGTGGCTATTTCCTCTTTTTTTTTTAAACCAATACATTTTATGTGCATTGTTTTGATCTTTAAAACATTAGTGACTATGTGTTATGAAGTGAAAAAGTATTATAACATGAAAAGAGAGCTGTTTGTATTGTCTCAGCCCAGTTTTATTTTGTAAATTTGTATGTATATAGTGTAGTTGTTAAAATCGTTACTCTAAGGTTAGACTGCTTAAGTTCAAATCCCAGCCAATTACCAGCTGTGCAACTTCTTTATGCTTCTGTCTCTTCATATGTAACATGGGGAAAATAGCAACCACCTTATAAGGTTGTTATAAGGATTACATGAGTTACCAGTAATATATGTAAAATGCCTAGACAGCATCTGGCACTAGGTAAGCATTATGTGTTGGCTATGGTGATGATAATGATGATGACGATGATGATGGTGATGATGATGATGATGGATATAATGATGATGGAGATGATAATGATGACAACACAGGAAAATATACCAGAAAGACATATGCCAATATGTTGTGACTTCTTAATATTTTGAAACAAGATTATTTTTATAATAAAAAAAATTAGTAGAGAGATACAGGTTCCAGTCCTGTTTCTGCCACTGCTTTTATCTATAGGCTTGGGCAAATCACTTTTCATCTTTCTGTGTTTCAATTTCCTAACCTGTAAAAGGAGAAAGAAAGGTAGAAGTGCTTACAACAGTGACAGTAATACCATATAATCCTAGAGCCCTTGACATTTTACAAAGCACTTACTTATGCAGTAGCTCATTAGGGAACACACATTAGTATCTCCCATGCTCTCAGCCTCATGTAAAAATCATTTAACCTGATTTGCAAAAACAGCTGACCAGTGTGCTGCAAAACATAAATCTTGACTCTGACCCTAGCCTCCATGTAGTAGAAAGCTTCAAAGGCCTCAATAGCTTATGCATCCCACAATGTTCAACGTGCTGTCTGTAAGATACTGGGAAGAATGAGACAAGAAAAGAATAAAATGAAGGCAATCATATTTATGAAACATCTATAATATAGATCATTATAGTATACACAATCTTTAAAACTCATTGAATCTTCACAACAACCTAAGTGGAAGATTCGTTTCCCATATTTCAGAGATAGCTTTCTCATAAAGGTTTAATATCAGTGCCCAGGATCACACAGCTACTATATGTGATCATATAGGTCACACATATGAGCTACTATGTGTTCATATAGGATTTATATGAAAGTCTAGCTGAACCCAAGCCCAAGTTCATGCTAAAGTTCTATGCCACCTCACTGAAATTTGAGAGTCACTGGGTTTGGGATGTTGGTTATTGTTTTAACTTTACTGCTAAGCCTCAAGCCCACTGAAGAACTCTGCTAGATAAATGGTACCAAGAATGTAATGCCGTAAGGGAAATTATTTTACTACAAACAACTAGCCTATAGATGGCGACAGCTTTCAATCATTTCGGACCCAGACTGGCACTCATCATGAAAGTTTTAATCCAAAAATGTCACGTATGTCAAATGCGCCCTGAAATAGCCAGACCTCCCAAGTCTGTCAGGTAGTGACTGAGACAGCTATTGAGCAATGATAATTCTTGCATACCTACGGTACGGTAGAGAACAAACACTTCTGAAGGATGGTCATTGTTTCATATAACAAATATTGGCAGTGAATAAGCTCATGACCCTTTTTTTTATTCCTTGTTCTTCCTCATTTCTCTTTCACCAACACACTTCTTTGCTCGCCTAACTTGATGAATTATAGCCCCGAGGGCACGTGAGAGTGAAGTCAGCATAATATACATTACTAAAAAGTTCCGAATCAGTCAAATGGAACTTGACTGCCTCTTCAAAGGAAGTAGCATAAAAAGGAAAGAGCAATTAATTTACTGTGTTTGCCTAACTCCATTAAGTTGGAACGCCTGGCCTTGAATAAGAAAAATCATAATTACATGTTAAGATATATCTGTGTTATCTTCATGTCATCTTAATGAATGCTTACTAGATGCCAGGCACAGTGTACTATATATTATTGCACTTGGGTCTCACAATAATCCTATAAGACAGGCACAGTTATTATACCCATATTGAATGAGGAAACTGAGGCACAAAATTTTACATAACTTTCCTAATGTCACAGAGAAAAGACAAATGAAAAATGATAGCATAATGATTCATACTCCAGCAGCCTGACTCCAGTGTCCACTTTTTCTTAAAGCAAGATCCTGATTGCCTAAGGACAATGGTGAGATAGGCAGGTATGCACCCCTAAATAAGAACTTTTTTCTTTAATCATTTTCATAATATCTCCCCATCCATTTAATAATCCTATATTCAGAAGTTCGTGTGATGAAAATGGACAAAAGGATTAGAGTATGCTAAAAAGCAAAGGCCACGGTGATTTTCCATGTGAATTTCAGCAGCAGAGTCACCCACCTGTTGGATCACAGACCATACTTGTATTGGAATTGCCCTGAGCTAACTTATGGTGAATCTATTTAAGGGATTAAGTTTTATTCTTCTTATTACTTGTACTCCAAGTCTGGACCATGAGATATATAGCTGTTAAAAAGGAAAGGGAAAGGGAAAACCATCAGCCTATGGAACAAGGCTGTTCCACTGATTTGTTGCAGAGAATAAAGTTCATAAAGCTTTTAACTCCACAGAGGTTCTTCTCTTTCCATAAAGTTACCCTTCCCAAAGCCAAGGACTGAGAAGGAATGACGACAGGAAAACAGGTTCCTTGTTGTCTCGAGTGGCTTATTGACATCTTTGAGATTTTTCAGACTAAGTGACACCCATTTAGCTGGCTATGCCCTTCATAGCAATAATTTTCTTTGGGTACTTTCTCCCTGTTGAGAGGGAGTGAAGTGGGGTGCGGCAGGGAACATACCATAATATGAGTCTCTCTCTCTCTCTCTCTCTCTCTCTCTCTTTTTCTCTCTCTCTCTCTATCTCTCTCTATCTCTCTCTATCTCTATCTCTATCTCTCTCTCCCTCTCCCCATTTTCACTTTTAGTGCATGTAACATAGGAGTGAGCCTATTCACACAGCTAATTGAAGGTGACTATGTGGTGCAACTAAAAGGCAATGTGGAGAGAATGGCTCATGACAAGGGAGCTAGCAGAGTCCCATCCTGGGCAATTCTCTCGTTTGTTAGAAACATCTGCCAAGAAGGCATGTGATCATCTGAAGAGAGCACAATCCTAGGAGTCAGAAAGTCAGGATCCAAGTGCTACCCATCCTGCAGTTTTAGGCAAGCTCCTTCCCCTGTTGAGACTCCAATTGCCTCCTGTTACAAGACATAAAATCTCATTAGATTGGCAGGAGGAACTAATGAAATCACACACAGGCAGATACATTCTGCAAACTCCAGAGGCCTGTGCCAAATGCTGGCTGTGAGTTTATTTTTCAAAGGTTTGAACTTGCCTCTCACTCTAACCGGGACCTTGTCCTTGATCCTTGAACGTCTTCCCAGGCCCATGAGAGGTAAAAACCTGATATTGCCTTGGGTGTGACCCCAGTCAGTCTGGCTAATAAACATTCCTTCCTGTTTCTCCATAGTGACAAAGGAGGAGGGCAGCAAGGTCCCAGGAGAGTGGCAGGGGCCACACCAAGCGAAGACCTCAGCAGGGGATAGCAAGAGTTTGCTGAAGCTGAGTCAGCCCCCTGGTTTTTTTCCTATTTAAATAATTCACTTGCTAAGGCAAACCAGTCTGAGATGCATGAACCCTCCTCTGCCTCTCCCATGAGCTTCCAAATGAGTTGCTGCTGTTTGTTTTTGTTTTTCCTATTTTCCTTCTCTTTCCTTGGAAACATGATTTCAGGGTTTTCAATTTCACGTTAAGATTCCCCCCACCCACCCTTCATTTAAGTGCCCTGGGAGGAGGGGTTGTCATATCAAAGAAACACTGTGCTGATATTCTTAACTTTGAATATATTTAAATGGCCATGTTAAATAGTTGTTTATATTCCTTAAGCTTCCTTATTGATTTTGCACTCAAGTAGGTTAAATTAAAAATAAACAAAATTTCATAGTATATAATACACTGAGAAGTCTGAGCTCTTTAGAAATTAAGCTCTAAATATGTGAATTTTCTATATCTTAAAAGGTTTATTAAACACTCAAGACTTTTCCAAGTCTTTTGAATGGGAATTTCTTCTGCATATATAAGATGCATAATATTTTTCTTCATAATAAAATATAGCCTTTTGTTCATTATTAGAAGTCATTCCCCTTACATTCTTTTAACACTCCCAGCTTCCATTTGATCTTCCTCCCATATTTATGTGAGGTCAAGTTTAGTTGAGGCCTTTCTTCCATGTTCTGCTTAATCTTCATGTACATCTGTAGTCATAATATTCTTTTTAGCCAAGTTATTCAGGAAGAATGGTTTTACTGTTTGGTTACATCTGGACAGTTATGACATTCCCCAGTTTAAAACTCCCCAGTAACATCTCACTGTCATTAGAATAGTAACCAAATGTCCTTCCATGACCTATAGGACCTTTTATGGCCTCAGCACTGCCTATTTCTCCAATCAGTCTCCCTTTCATCCACTGTAGTCCCACATTGGCTTTGTCTCTGTCCTCCAATGGGCCAAGTTGTCTCAAGTTCTCTGTACTTGCCATTGCTACTTCCTTCATTTTCATCTGACCATCTCCTTCTCATTTAGGTCTCGGGTCGAATGTCACCTCCTCAGAGAGGCTATCCCTGACTCCCACTTCAAGCAGGCTATATCTTCCTTCCTGCTCGATTTACATCCCACTAGTTATAGCACTATCTGAATACTTTTATTTGTTTTCTCATTTACTAGTTTGTATGTACATTATTCTCTGTCAGGTCTGTTATGCGTTGTGAGGGAAAGGCTTTATCTGTTAATTAATGTATCACAGTTTCCAGAACAGCTGTGGCACATAGGACCATTCAGTAAATACTAGTTGAAGAAATAAACCCTGGCTCATCTCTCTACCTACTCAAATGTATATCCATTTGATATACCCCCCCATATCATGGGGAGTCCAGACTGCCTTGTGTCTCATCACACATTGGGTAATCTAGTCCAAATTATCAATTATAAAAGTATCCTCAGATGATTGTCAAAACAGTAGGAAGCTGATCATGTCCAATATTGTTTGATCCAATTTTGGAAAGAGACAAAGAAGTTAAGAGAATGTTGAGCACACACTCTAATTTATTGGGCAGTTCTTTTCAAACTTTTCCAAGACATAACTAATAGCTGAAAATAGTAAATAATCATGCTTAGCCGAAGGGATTTGAACAGGAGCATAAAGTGGTCCCAAGGGCTAAGTATCTTTGAGTTCTCATGATTCACTTATAAAATTCAGATGAATTTTTCATCCTAATTCATTACATATCTCGGTTTTACTTAATAGAAAAGAAAATTTCCCCAAATTATTACAGATAAAAAAAGTCCTCTGACACAATATGCCCTGTTTACCCCCAGAAAACTACCAATAATCCCCAAGTCCATGTGATCCAAGCTGATAATCATGTAGAAATGATTCTGGAAGAACCTTAATGGGAGCACAGGTCCCACCCATGCCTTGCTGGCCCATGTACTTGTTCCCATCTTCACCCAAGAGAGGAAACACTCTGGAACTAGGGCAGCATAAGTGAAGCAGAGTGAAAAGGAATGTGAAGTTTTGAGAAGAAAGAAAAGGCTAAAGTGTTTCTCTTTCTGCATTGCTTTTTTCAGGTTTCTCTTTGGAATCACTTCCCTGCTGTCTTTCTTTCCATTTACTTGGTGATGTAAAAGGTTTAAGTATCCCTTACCTCTGAGAGGGGAGACCCTAGAGTGATCATATATCCCAGTTTTCTCAGAACCACTCTAGTTTATGCATGCGTCCTGGCATAAGTGTTAGTACCCTGTTTTCATTTGTACAAAATATGCTCACTAAGGGACACTTTCCCCACTCTTGCCTTCTTGAAAGAATAAGTAGAACCAAACTAAAGAGGTCATGCACAACATGATGTAAATCTTCTTCAGCCTAACTTTAAGCCACCAAGGAAGAGGAGTCCTTTTGCCTCAGACACAAAAGCATTTGGAGTCCAAACATTGGTACATACTAATGAAGTTTCCTTTGTCTGATATATCTCTACAGTTGGGCATCTATAATCACCATTTGGTGCTCATTGAAGATTGGGGGTTCAGGATTCAGGACATCTTGCAAATATTATAATAACGTTTCTAAGGAAAAGACAGAAGGGGCAACCAGGATGGTAAGCGAGAATTTGGTTAACTGAAAACCATTGGGCTATGAGTTAAAGTATTTTAAAATAAAGTATGATAAATGGAAGTATTTAGTCAGTAATGCAGCATAAATTTAATTGATTAGCTCTTTCAATGACATGGCTCTTGAAAGCAGGAAAGAAAAGACCATTATCTCATGAATTCACACACAAAAAATTGTTTGATAGTAATTATGACAACTATTGCAAGAATAATAATAGACTGACGGTCTTAGCCGCTGCCTCTGAAATTCATCACCAAGTTTTTTCTGAGTCCATGCTTTCTGTGGCTGCTCCCAGCCAGTTACTAAGCACAGCAGATGTACTAAAGCAAGTTCGTTCCTGAAAGATGCAGTATTCTTCCGGCGGGCAGCTTTGCCTTAAATACTCCCAATCAGCTTTGTCAAAACTTTCTTAAAATTGAAATCTTAAGGGTTTTCTTCTTTGCCTTCCTGTCCTTTCTCCTTCATGGGGATGAGTCTTACATAGCAGCCAGACAGTCTGCCCAGACTCCTCTAGGTACCTCTCCATTTTCTCCCACAGGGTTTTCCTCAACGAATCTCTTGCACATCTAATTTCATCTTAGCATCTTTCTCTCAGAGGACCTGAACTAACATAGTGATTCAAGTAGAGATAAATATAAGGGGCAGGAAGAATCAGGACTTTTAATGTCCTGATTCTTTGATCCAAGACCAAGAGGGAGAGTCACAGGTGATTGTAAGAGAAGTTTGACCAGGTATAAGAGGGAACTTTTTGAGAATAACTAGGTCATGACAGAAGTGGTTGTGACAGTGGGAGAGGAGGTTGGAGTAATCAAGGTCTGAAGTTGTTCATTTGCATACTTGATGCTACACAAGTTCCAAAGGCCAATTAGAGAATCTGAAAAGGTTCCATTGTTTTTGGTAACATGTAGAGTTCAGCTGATATATGTGGTTGGATCCTTTTAAAATGACTCAATGTATTTTTATTTGGACTCTATATATAGAGTCCTTTTAAGAGAATTCTATAAATTTTTATTTGGCCCTAGTGGCATGTGGCTTGCAATTTTTACATTTGCTATTACAAGGTCTTGCATAATTAGAAAAAGTAAAATAGAAAGTTGACTATTTGTATCAGATATTGAAATTTTCAGCCAATAGGAACACATTTATTATAAAAGCAGTAACTTACATTTTTATATTCCTTCACCATCTTCAAGTATGTAGAGCTTTGTATCCCCAATGAGTTACAGTAATGTTTGTATAACTGAGTTACACATTGTTTGACATGCTATTACATTTGATCTTACATCTACGTTAAGATCCTG